GAAGCTCCCTATACAAGCTGGACCCTATCATTGATGCTGGGCTTCTGAGAGTTGGAGGAAGAACTAGAAAGATGGCTACGCCAACTGAGGTCAAACATCCAATGATTCTACCGAAACATTCTAATATTTCCAAGTTAATATTAAGCCACATCCATCATCAAGTTGGTCACTCAGGAAGAGGTCACATGCTCTCCAAACTCCATCGACGTTACTGGCTATCCGCTGCTAAGCGTCCCTTAATATATGCGACACTAGGGATTAAGTCGCGCGAGAATCAGCAGACTTCGTCACTAGTTTAGCATATTCCGTCCGGTTGTTGGCCCTGTTTGTTGGCCTCGATAGAACTACGATTTAGTCGGGCCAGAAAAAAGGTGAAAAAGTAGCCCCGTGCCGGAACTAGGCCAAGTGTAAGCGCAACCAAAAACAGGCCCCGCACGGCTCGGCACGCTTAAAGCGAGCTCCGCGCTGTAGTGTGAATGCGCCATAAGTGTGTCTGCTCCTGGAGGCTACAGACTGGGCCTACTGAGCCTTAGCCTTTCAGTCACGTGCACCTCTGACTGTTAGACAAAAGGACTAGACTCTTGGTCTCCTACCCCCTCCCCATCAAAGGCTGCCTTTTGAACGCAGATCATTACAGACAATTAGTACTAGACCTCAGGGTTTCCGTTAGCCGGTAATTACCGGTTTTTAGTTGGTAAAATTGAATAAAAACGGTAAATTTAAAACCTGCTGGTCAAAATGTCCGATGCTCCGATCGATTGGCCTCCGGAGATTATCGGCCGATATTCACTCTTAATAGTTTGATCTGTGCTCTCTATAAAGGCCGATCAGGAAGAGCTGGATCTGATCAATATGGACATAAACGCGAGTGAAGTGTAACAGGACGCAAGAGAGAGATCAGATCAGCTGCTGCTGAGACACGCAGCTCTGCATGATCACCTGAAGCCCCGCCCACTGTTTAGCGTGCTGCATGAGAAACTGACGGACTGTCAGGAGAGAGAGAGAGGGAGAGAGAAAAGAGAGGATCCGTTTCTCCCGTGTTATTATTCAAAGTTAATGTGAACTTTTGAATAATGTACTTCATCTACTACAAGTAGTTTCTTTGAATGTAATAATTATGTTGTTTGTTGTCTGTGGAATCATTTATTGAAAAATGAATCTGAACTTTTCGATCTGTTACGAACATCAGCATATCCGGTCATAGTCCGGTAATTACCTGCTAACGGAAACTCTGCTACACAATTCTTATTATTATTATTGAAACATGACCGGTAAGTTTCAAATTTGTCTGCATTGTAAATTGTAAATGATATTTTTGGGAGAATAAACCCCACAAACCCTCAACTCCTGTGTGTCTCACTCATTAACAACGCAACACGGAGCAACAAGATCGTTGTCTACAGCAGCCATGAACAGCCACAGGTTTCTATCCATTAAGCCTCCGTACCTCAAGGCGGTCGATGTGTTAGCCGAGGAACATCTCTTTTTTTCAAAGCATTCTTTTCTTCTATCTGCATTAAGCATGTCACAGATTTCACTATGTTCCAAAAGACATGTCTACCAAACACTTCTCCACTCAGACGTACCTCGAGGCGGTCGCTGTGCAGCACGATGAACCTCGTGGCGTTGATGCACTCCAGCTCGATGCTGACCTCCCCGGAGAAGGTGAAGTTGTCCATGTAGACGGCGATCCTCAGGTCGTAATGCCGCGGCCTCAGCGTTCCCGGCAGCCTCAGGTTTTTCCACGGCTGAACCCCTTCCTCATCTCCTCTTTCTCCTTTACTTCCGTTCAGTTTGGCGGACCCTCGAGATCCCGATTCGCCCGTCGCGACATCTCGACTCCCGCAGTCCTCGAATCGGACGCTGAGCACCACAGCCACCGTCGTGACGATGATGAGGGTGAGGATGCTCAGAGCGAAGCCCAACACGAGGCGCTTGTGCACCGTGATGTGCCGCTCCGTTGTGCGAGGGCGGACCACCACCGTCTCGGCCCATTGGTCCGAGAGGCCGCGGCCGTTCCTCATGGCGCCCGGGCTGCTGTCGTTTAGCCCCATAGCGCTAAAACAAAGAGTCCAACAGCAAAGACACGCCTCCAATAAATGGGGTTTGGAGCAGAAAGAGATTCATTTATGCTCAAGTCTTTATCCAGATTGTTTGCGGATGACTTCAAAAACAACAAAGGAATGCCCTCAACGTAGAAGGCTAGAAACAGGTTTTGGCTCGGAAAGAAATATAATAATGCCAAGACTTTTATCCCATTTTATGGAGGCCTTTATCCAGATTGTAGAAGATTTTGACTGACAGAGACGTTTTGGTGTTTGATAGTACCAAATGTTCAGGGTCAAAGGTCAGAAAACTGATTGTGGATCAGAAAAAGATTCATTAATACCAAGGTCGTTATCCAGATTGTTTGCAGCAAATGTTTTTGTGTTTGAAGGTCCCAATTCTTCCCACTCTCAGTTCGTCAAAAACAGTAAAGAAATGTCCTCGAGTTGCGAATCAGAAACATGTTTATGCTAATGTCTTCATCCAGCGTTTTTCGTGCCTCTGATGGTCCCAAATCTTCCCACTCTCAGTCTGTCAATCCTCCAGTCTGTCCGGCAGGTGTGTTTCTGAGAATCTTCACCTCTGAACCTTGCCTCTCTCAAAAAAAAACGTCCTTCAGCTTCTCTGCAGAGAACCGTCTCTGCTGCACGTCTTACATTTCAGGCAACAGAACTGACAAACCAGAAAAGATGAGATGGTCGTGTGCGTGTTGGTTATGCGGTGAGGAGAGGAAGAATAAAAAATCAATGCTGCATGGCTCGATTTCAAGATCTACAGGAGGCAGAGGAAGAGGAAGGACAGGAGGAGGAGGAGGAGGGGGAGGTATGTTGTTCAGGATGTGGCTATACAGTGAGCGTATCATCCATAGGCCTTCTCTGGGAATCAGCTAAACCTAGAAGACAGAAGAAAGCCTCGTTACAACCTGATTTGTCGGGAAACAATCTGAAGCAGCTGAATTTGCACACAGCATTAAAAAGCACTTTTAGATTTTAGACATTATTCATTTTGAGCTTTAAAAATGGTAATTTCATCAACATGCATAGTCTTTTTCTGGGAATCAGCTAAACCTAGAAGACAGAAGAAAGCCTCCTTACAACCCGATGCTGAGAAACAATCTGAAGTTACACTTTAGCTGAATTCGCCCACAGATTTTTCACTAAAAAGCATTTTCAGATGATGGAAATTACAGATTTTGAGCGTTAAATATGGTAATTTCATCAATCAGCGTATCATCCATAGGCTTTCTCTGGGGATCAGCTAAACCCTGAAGAGTGAGGACTGGAATAAAGCCTTGACACCACCCTATGTGCCGCCAACCAACTGAAGTCACACTTTAGCTGAATTTACACATTTGCATTGAAAGCACCTTGAGGGGATGGAAATGACTGCTTTTTAGCTTTTCATCAACAGGCATAGGCTTTCTGTGGGAATCAGCTAAACTTTGAAGAGGTTATAAAACCTTGACACAACCCTATGTGCTGCCAACCAAGTGAAGTCACACTTTAGCTGAATTAGCACACATTAAAAAGCACTTTCATGAGATTAAAAAGTCTCATTTTGAGCTTTAAAAGATGTTATTTCATCAACACGCATCCCAAACACTGATCCTAGCTCACACTCACAGCAGGGGGTATTTTCTCCAGGTCGTCATAAAGTTAATTTGTTCTGAGTTAGAACTGCAGTGAGGCATAAACGAACCCCTGTAGGGCTATTATGGGATTATTATTATTATTATGATACAGTGGGACATTAGGGTCAGCATAGGAGAACTGATGCACTCGAGTATCTCTAAGATTATTATGATTACACTTCAGGTTTGGAGTCCGGTAAAGATCATAGTCGATAAATTATCAGCCAATATTTTGCATTTTGACTCAATTATTAACCATTTAAAGCTTAATTTGTCAAGAATATGACAACATGTGTTACCCAGGACTTGCTTTTTAACATGAAAACCCCAAGTTAACGTTTTATAAGACAATAGCATCTTATTTCTCTTAATAGCAATTTAAATGTGCATTTTTAATGTTGATTTAACTGCTGATTTAAATGTTGTTAGAGACGTGTTTTAGTTACTTTAAATGTGAAAAAGTCAACACATGTTATTCAAATAAAATAGAAATACATTTAATGTTATATAATGAAGAATTGTATGACTTACCCTTTAAGAATATTGAATTAAAAGGTTATTTTCCAGGTATATTTGCATTGAAACCAACCAGTTGAATGGTTTAAACTCCAGCTCCAGGTTATAATGTTCTTTCTCCGTTAATATTCTGCAGATAACGGTGCTTCCTCCCGGTAATAACTCTCCCTCTCGGTCCTCAGGAGGGTAAATTGATGATTTACGGTCAGCACGGGGGTTATTTCACCGTGCAGGAGGTGGTTCACTCCACCGGGGCTAAACGGTGCCCACAGACCGTGATGGATGAGAGATAGATTCAGAATGATTGATACCGGGGGATATATCGATCCGGTGGAGGGGGCAGAAACCGGGGGAAAGAGGCTGTTTTTATCCGGTAGAAATCCAAGAATCAATGCAGCCTTTACCGAAATCAATCCGGTTTTAAACGTGAACGTTATCCAGTCCCTGGGTGAACGGAAACCCGGTGATTATTGGGTCTTATTATAAAGAGAGACCTCAGTCCTGAGAACAACCGGGGCCTTTTCCCGTTAAAATCAAAAACACCTGCTTTTGTATGCTCTTATTTACCGAGGGTGAATTGTCAAGTGCCACCGGGACTGTCCGTTAAAATGACCCGATAGTTTGAACCCAAGGAGTTGGCTGTTAAACGTCAGAAATCCGGTACTGATCCGTTAAATCAACCGGGAATCCGTTCCAAGAGCAAACATCAGGGGAACATTTAGAGACAGATCAAACACAAAGTGATCAGTTCAAACACCGAGAATCCAATACAAACAACTAATGGCCTCTTTATTAACAGTCACCGTTAAACCGTTAAACCAGCTCAAATGAAGAGTTGGCTGTCAGCAATCCGGTATTGATCCGTTAAATCAACCGGGAATCCATTACAAGAGACAACATCATTTTTTAAACGTCACAGATCAAACACTGGGAATCTATTGTCACCAAGACTTTCCGTTAAACTGACGTTAAAAACCGTTATAGACACAACTAAATCCGTTATTGGTCCGTTAAACGAACCGGGAATCCGTTATTTAAAACAAACTAAGGGTCTCTTTAGTAATTGGTCACCCGGACTGTCCGTTAAAACACCTCAGATGTCAGTTTGAACACGAAGAAATCCGGTATGGAGTTGGCTGTCAGAAATCCGGCAGCCTATTGATCCGTTAAACCAACCGGGAATCCGTAACAAGAGGGAACATTTTGAAACGTCACAGATCAAACCCCGGGCATCCGTTAAAAAAAACAAAAAACTGGGTCTGTTTCTTTTTGTAATGCTCGTTAAATCTCTACCGGGATCAGGTCAAGATCCCTGATCCGTTTAAGAGCTCCATCATTAAACCCGGGTCCCTTTCCATTAAATCCAAAGTAATGAACCGGGTCCGGTGGATTATATCCCGGGTATAAAACCGGCTCAAACCCCTCCGGTGCTCCGGGGTTTCACCGGATCATCCTCAACTTTTTAAGCCCGCAGAGAGCTGCTGCTCCCGGTGAGGGAGAAACGTCTTCATTAACCGAGCAGGAGGTGAGGAAGATGATGAGGAAGAAGAAGAAGAAAGTCTCAGCTACCGTTCAGCTGAGAGTCCGCGAGCGGTGTGATGAGACTGAGCGCGAGCTGCTGCTGCTGCTGCTGAGAGGGAGCGAGGCACGCGCTCAGAGAGAGAGAGGAGGGAGAGAGGGAGAGAGAGAGAGAGAGAGAGAGAGAGAGAGAGGGAGAGAGAGAGAGAGAGAGAGGGAGAAAGAGAGGAGAGAGAGAGGAGAGAGAGAGAGAGAGAGAGAGAGAGAGAGGAGAGAGAGAGAGAGAGAGAGAGAGAGGAAAGAGAGAGGAGAGAGAGAGAGAGGAGAGAGAGAGGGGGGAGAGAGAGAGAGGGGGGAGAGAGAGAGAGGTTAGAGAGG